TTGTGGCCTTATTCACATCTTTTATGTGCATAAACCTTTAAAAAATTTTTTTCTTATTCAAAAAAATTTTTATGATAAAATTTAAGTGATCAACTAAAAAAAAACTGTATTTTATTTATCTTATGAATGTACTATAATTTTATTTGTATAATTGCTCAATATAATAATAATACTGATCTAATGAATCCGGTCTAATATAGCCCAATAAGACCAGTTATAGATATCCTGTCATCCGGGACTTCTTACACTTGTGCAATGAAAATTGGTTATATTATAAATAGAAATTGTTGCTATTATTTCTAATAAGAATTTTACTAATATTAATATAATATATAATCCTTATAAAAAATTGTAATATCGTAATAAATTTTTGCTTGGTATATTGCATTATTCTGTTGTTTTGTAAAGCTTACCAACTAAATGCGTATTAAGGGCAAAATCGTCCGATGTATTTCCAATATATAAACGAGCATATTTTCCACCAAATTTGCCAATTATTTGATGACCCGGTAGTATTGGTACCCATATTTCTTCATTCGTATTTTTGTTAATATATTTATAATAAGTATTATATTTATGATCAGGATTTACATTCATATTTGTATGCGAACTAAGTACTTGAAGATTATTTTCTCCTCCAAATAATATATAACCACCATTTTTATGAGGAAATTTTAACCAAGTGGGATTTTTATTTAATAGATCTTTTACCCAAGCTGGAGGACCTCTAAAAATTAAAAAATTAAAATTCTTTTTTAGAATTATGTAATTAAAGATGTGCCTTTTTTTATTCATTTTGCAAAATAAATACAGCCAACTCTCTCTAAGTGTAATTCATTTGGACCAGACCTTTAGTGACATATATTTTGAGGAAAATTAAGAAAAACTGCATTTAACATATATTTGGACCAGAATTTAAAGAAAGAAGTTATACTTAGAGGGGTTGTACTTAAAGAGAATTGGAGCAAGTCTCAGTATGTAAAATGGGGTCCGTATCATTTCGTAGAAGTTTATTTCACCGACACCTTGTTTCACAGACAATCAATTCATAGACAAGTTTATTTTAAAGACAATTAATTTACAGACAGTTCATTTCATAGACTATTCATTTCATAGACATTTCATTTTGTAGACAGTCTTTAACACTGATTCAAAAGTTATTTGCTGTTAAAGATTGTCTACAAAATGAATTATGAAATGAACTGTCTGTAAATTAATTGTCTTTAAAATAAACTTGTTTATGAACTGATTGTCTGTGAAATAAGCTTCTACGAAGTGATACGGACCCCTCTGTTTCTGCCTTTAGATTTCAATTGTGGTTTTATTCGATTTCTCATTTTATACTTTTAGTTAAGTCTTTTGTTAGAATCGTTATTTATTTATTTATTTTCTCTAACTTTTATTCATTTATCTATTTATTATTCCTGGATTCACTTTTATTTACAATTACTTGCATTGCATAATCGTTCACGTTACCCTTCGTGTCATTGTTTATACTAACGTTCTACTTGTTTACTATCAGAACTAATTTGGCCCCATAATTCTTCGCTCTCCCAAACAGATAGTAACAACGGTCACCTGAAATTAGGAATTTTGATATTTATAGTTTATTAGGAGTTTAAGGAGTAGGGATTTATTCGATCTTTATTTTAAGGCCGAATTCAGAAAGTGTACATTTCCTTTTCTTTTCTTTTAAAGATAGAAGCATGCCCTTATATACATGTTTAACTATTATGAAAAACCCGAGATAAGAATACTTGGAAACTACATTTTCTATGAAAATACATTTCCTATGAACTACATTTTCTATGAAACTACGTTTTCTATAAAAAACTTTAGTTTCTTGGAAACTATAATTTCCAAGTTCCCATCTATATACCACCAAATTTGGAATAATAGAAATTAACGATACCAAGCCCCAAATAATGACGTTTTCCTCGATCCCAAAGTTTCTCTTCAGCACTAAATTTGGGGATCGACGATGCATAATCCAAGCCTCAATTAAATGTTGCGGGGAACCCGTAACAGTAACAGTATATAGAAATTATTGTACCATTGTAATTCAGTTCCCGAAATACAGTCTACTCGTTAATAATCAACCTAAGCCATAAGATGAATTTTTACAAATTTTCATATATTAAAATTCCCTCATATATATCAACTTCAATATAGTCCTTGTTAATATAATAATCAAAATGAATTTAAACCAATTCGAATGGGTTGATATAAACGAGGGTAGACTATATAGTGATTATCAAATTTTTCTATAACGATAAAGGTGAGATTTTGTTAGCAAAAAAGAGACTTTATCAAGAACCTGCGAACTATATACAATAATTATATATTTTTGCAACTGTGTAAGAATGTTATCTAATTAATTTTGCAATTTCTTACTTTTCTAAATAAACATATCTAATAGAAATTATACTTATTTAGACATAATTGGTGATAAAAAATGATTTTTTAATAATTATTCTATTGCGGCTTTTTTTTATATATTATAACTAAATTTTTTTAATTTTCTTCTTTTTACTCTTCAATTTTGGTTCTTCGAATCCACAGCTTTTAAAATAGCTTCAGAGATAAAAGGTTTTGCGTATTTATTCCAATTCTTAGATTTAATTTTATGGATATTTCAAATAAAATAAATAATAAATTATAATAATAAATTGTATCTGTTTCAATTGGAAACAAAGAAATTTCATTTAAATCATGATCAACTAATTACATTTGATGAGAAACAATACAAGATCTTTGTCTTTAAATTTGAATAGGTTAAAAGAATATGTATGGCTTAACATACAAAATCGAAAAAAAAAGAACATAACAGTTAAAAGAAATCTAATTATTTACATCACTTGATGTTACTTTATCTTCAAAAAATTTTAAAATGTCTTTCGATTTTTACGTGATCAATGATTTCGTCAACATTGCGCAACATAATGTTCATTTCCTCACAGCATTTTAGAAAACCCATTTCGACCAGGAAAATATTTTTTAATGACTGCCGAAAATCTTTCAACTTCAGTGATTTCAAGCTCTTGACCTGTGTTTCACACGAACAGCTAACTTGTATTTATCTTCGTAATGGGAAAATATCCTTGTCTCGATCCGAATAAATTTTTTTGTTTTCTAAATTTCATTACATATTTATTTTCGTAAGTAGAATAAATGTCTTTGTCTCGGTCTGGGTATATTTTTGTTGTTTTTTTCGTAGGTACTGTACCGGACAGTAAGACATCCAATCGCGCCAAATTTTGGTGCTTACATAATCGTTTTTGATTGGCTAATTTTGGCGCAATTGATTTTGATTGGTTAAATAAATCTATATCTTTTCATTTTTTTTATATTAAACGCCAATTTTTTAAACTATTATAAACTTTAACTCATTATAACTTTCTTAAAACAAGCAATAGGAGAAAATCCTCTGACAGAAATGTAGTTTAGCTAAAGATCTATCAATTTGTTAGAGGGTTTTTTGATTTATCTTGTTTTAAAAAAGTTATAACAATTTAAAATTTTTACTAATAAAGAGCGTTTTAATGTCTTGAATATAATTATGTCATTTACTTGTAAATACAGGAATAAACCGCTCCAAAATATGTAAAGTACTCATGATGATCAAACATGTGAGTTCGCATATTGTTTGTTACATTAAATTTAGAGGTAACAAAATCTGAAAATTGTAAATTAAAATTATGTGTTGCATATAAATTACTACCTGGCTTTAGACGATCTCCAAATTTAAACAGACCAACAGGCCATAAATTATCATTATTTTGTGACTGTCGTCTCAACAGGTCACATTTAACGTTTTTTTTCAGCATACAATCCTAACGGATCCCACCAACTACTCTTATTCATGGCTGCCGTCCTGGCAGACCGTACAAATTATGCGTCGCTCTAACACGGGTAGGGTAGGGTGGGAGGGATCGATATAACTAGAACGAAAGTCGGGTTCTTAGAAAAGACAAAGTTAATTCCTATTATTTTTCACTTACTTACTAAATATACTACGATTCAATTATCTCAAAATTAATCAATCAATTTTCTCATACTTACTAAGACTAATCACTCTAACCATACTTTCATTAACGATTGTATTACTAATTACCTGATTACCTTATACTTACGTCCTATTAGTCAGAAACACCAAAAAAATTTGGATCCAAATTTGCTCAAGTAAATCCAAATATCTAGGTGTTTTTCAAGTTAGGATTCCGCAATTTGATTTGATTTGATTCGATCAAATATTTCAATTCAAATCAACTTCAAATTTGATTTGATTTGAATTATCTATCTATATATATTGGTCAGTTAAGATCATTGTGATTTGTGTTACTTGATGATCATTTGTTAAAAATATAATATAGTTAAAACATGTGAAACTAATAATTTTTGATTTCAATCCCATAAAGGTTCAGGTTGAAATTACGGTTTTAACTAATGTTTTATTTTTCTAACGAGTATTATTGCTTCATTTTTCAATATTCTTCAAAACGTTAAGACATACACAGAAATGATTTTTTAATAATAAGGGTTGTGATTAGCCAATTTTAGGTTCTGTAATTGTCCGAAGCGTAGTGAGGACTCTATGGTAGAGCAATGGACATGATTTTGTATTGGGTTCCATCCACGTGATTAATTATTAGCCAATCAACTATAGAGATCGACACGGATCAGCCTGATGTTTATTCTTGGCTTCGGACAATAACGGTATCCATTTTCCTAGTCTATTCGTCCATTGAATCTTTTTTTTTTTAGTTTGGTCTATTTTTGTCCACATTTTAAACATCTAAAAGAACGGCCTATATGTCGAATATATCAGTATGAGGTGTCTTATTCTAAAAATTTGTATATACCATACTGGTCTGGTGTTATATATTACTGTATTAGGCTTAGAAACTATCATTGTACGTATTATATATTTAGTTAGTATGGTATAATTTTTTAAAAATAGGTACCCTTTATCATGCTGATTTTATCATATATTTATTACTGTATTAGTTTTAGAAATTATCATTATAGTGTATTTATTTGGCATAATTTTTAAAATAATGCAAATTACATTTACTAATTAATATCTAGGAATTTAAATTACAATATTAAGTATGGTATAATATATTTATGGCATTCATATTATCAATAAAAAAATTAAAACAAATAAATAAAATAATAAAATTGTTATTTCCGATTGATTATTATAAATGAGAGAAGAAAATGATACTTCGGGTTTTTCAGTTTTATAATTTATTATTAACCGAATTTGCCCTTTAAAAATCCTGATAGTAACATCTATGACATGTAATCACAGATTTTTCACGAGCTTAATTTAATAAATGATAAACATAAAAGTTTGAAATTTCATTTTCTTTTGGTAGTTCTCAATAGATTTTATACATTTTGGGTTTATAAATTTAATCTATCTTTTTTTTTTTTTATCTGTGTGTTACTTTTTTCATTCATTTTGTTTTATATTCAATTAGTAATCTTATGTCATACTATACATATTATATCGTTCATTCATCATTTATCTATCAATACCGTTGTTAGTTATTCTTACATATGTGATCTTAATTCACCCTTCAGAAGAACCAAGCGATTTACAGTTGCGTAACCAAAATTTAGCAGATCAACCAAAGTTTAGAATCGGAATGCATCAGCGTCAGGCTAGCAATAAGCAATAATAATAACTAACTATTGATTGGATTACTGGATTATTAGCAAAATTTATCAATTCTGACCTATTCTGATCCGGAATTTTGGTTATGGGACTAATATATATTTAGTAATTAATATAAAGGATTAGATTGTACGTATTGTCATATAATACATATATACAGTTATATAATTAATAAAAATAATTAAAAACCTGTAACTGAACTAATAATTTCGGTTTTCAATCTCATAAATAGTCCAGACTCAAATTACAGTTCTAACTGAAAAATCAGTATAATTTCTTTATTTTTTTCTAACAATGAATAGCAATGAAAAATTTCATTTTTCAATATTTTTCAAAACTTTAAGACAATACAGAAATATTAATATAAGTGATCCTCTAATTAATAAAGGTTTAATGTTCTGCCTGTCGCTTTTTAACAGATTATATTAGCCAATTTTAGGTTCAGTAATATATTTATGTTGATCTCTCTCCTTTTTTTTTTAAGTCTTGCCAATTCCGTTAACTCATTTTAAACTCTTAAAAAAGAATGGCCAATGTGCCGAATTATGGTAATGATGTGGGTGATCAAATTCATATGTTATGGGCATAAATAATAATAATCCCCATGAGCTTGGCATAGTAATCGGTAATTATATAGTATGGTATATATAGTTT